CAAAATGCAGCTGAGATTACTGCTGATATGACGCAAACTAATGTCGATAATTCCGGCCGGGTAAACGAAACATGACATTCCAGCAGGCAAGGCGAGCCGATTCGTGCTTCGTTTTCTATTCGACGCAAATGCGATGCACCGACGTTGGACGTCAACGCCAGGGACCGGCTTTACCGTATGTTTGTAAACATGGTCAGCCAGGGCCCAGGGTGAGTGGGCGGTCCGGGATGGGGTATACCGGGGCCAGCGGGGACAGCATGTCAACAATGTGGATGGGCCTCCATGCTCCACCAAGGCAACATCGTCGAGCTACTAGTGGCAGCATGAAGCCACGGAAGCCCAACCCTTTGGACGACCTCGACCTCATCCGTTGTTTATCAGGATCATGGTGTGACCTGTCAAGGCAAGAATACGAGGGGGTACACGTCTGTCGTTCCGCTGGTGTTCATCGGGACTGCCACCCTCCCTCCCCCCTTCCACATGATGTGTTCCCGATCTTGGGAGGTGGTATGCTGTTACCCACGAAAACAGTCCATCTCGCATCACATCAGACGCAACTGAGATTTTGATAGCGTCGACCCGCGGCTCGGGCTGAAGGCAGAGAGGCTTGAAAGGGATCCACGTGGCTGGGTGACATGTCCCGGGTCGACCACCGACCTGGCACCGAGAGACTCAGACAAAGCCGAGCTGAGGACGTCCCCAGTGCCCCCCCGGGATGGGGTTACTGCAGCAACATGCGGCTCATGTCGTCTGGCACCCCCTGTCCTTTGAAGTAGCCAATGAAATGAAAGGTCGGAGCTCTTCTTTTGACGACATGTCATGCCGGGTGTGGATGTCTGCCCGGAGCCATCAACTGCCGATGCGGTGTATGGCTGTTCGTTCTCTTTTTGTGCTGGACCATTTGCGTGATTTAATGTGAATCTGGCTTGTCTAATGGTCTTTACCAGGAATTTTCTTTCTAGGCAGCGAATTACTGGTGGGTGGCTCGGTTTATGCTGTATGTCGAGGGGAGAGCATCCGGAGCAGAGAGAAGGAGGAAAGCCAGGTGTAGCGGACGCCATATGACTGTAGAATACCTTCACTGGAAATTTTCTGGATGTCTGGTGGTCAGAGTGATCCTTTATGTAAAAACTTTTGCATCAAAGGCTGGGGGGAGCCGGCAACAGGCCAGCTTTGTCGAGTGATGGTCCGAAAGGAGGGGGACAGATCCTAAAGATGATTTTGCCAAGGTCATGTCGGGTTAGGGTTGGGTATGTGGTGATGATTTTGCAACCAAATGCAACATCATGTCGCACCAGTCAGGACACACCCTCGAACACCCTCTTTGAGAGTTGCCCGAAAGACGCCTTGGGCCTTTCATCTAGTCATCACAACGCCAATGAAGAAGCATGCGATTCCAAATGGAGGCGATTGCCTTGTCATCTCACGTGAAAAGGAAATGAATGTCATGCCGCTATTCCGAACAACGTTTTTCGGGATTCTTGATGAAGAAGTCATTGAAGCAATGTTGAACAATCGGAAATAAGAAGTCCATGCAAAAAAAGTGCCATGGCGTTGGAGGCGTGATTGTCAGCCACTCAGCGAGCGGGCAGACAAGGTGCCGGAACTTTCGGCGACGGGGTTGGGCGATCCGTCTACCGTCGCAGTGGTGGTCAGCGGTGCACGACAGCGCCCCCCGGATGGTTTGTGTCTTCGGTGCACAAGCTGAGCTGCTGAGGTGAGGATTTGCGCCTGGCATGAATTGGCGCCAAAAAGCCGCAGGTGTGCGCCAAAAACGTTACTACATGTCTGTGCTTGCGCCAAAGTTGAAATACGGTTCTCTCTTCTCAATTCGGGGTCTGGAATAGCAGCAATTTTAAACAATGATGAGGAGAAGGAATGAACATTGAAAGACTTTTTGACTTCCATCCATCCAGTTGATAAAGAGGAAAGACTAGAGCGCCGAAAACTGCGTCTGTCAAGGGAAACCGTCAGCAAAATCCACCACGCGGCCCGTCAGCGCCCCACAACCTGGAACTCCTCCCCCGCCGCCCCGCCGTCCCAGCCATCGGGCAGCAGATCTGCTAGCGCACGCCGAGTCCCGAGTGGCCCGTCAGGCCCCGTTGGATTTTGAACTTTGACCTTTTCATCCCAACTCTCTTCTTTTCTCTTTTCACCTCATCCCTCACCTTCACGCCCTGAGAGCCGTTGTACCGCCCAGCAACTCCAGGTCTTCCACAATGGCGCGCCTCCCCTCCTTCCTTGGGGCGCTGCTCCTCTCCGTTTCCTTCTTCACACAACCCCTCCTCGGCGCTTCTACTACGACTACCACAGAGGCAACTACCGATAAAAAGGTCCAATACTGCCAAACCGGTCTTACCTCAGGAGCAGCCGATTTCTGCGTCTCCCTCTCTTCCCTCCCTAACGTGACCACTTCCTCCCACGACACCTTCTTCCACCTAACCGTTACCCGCTGGAACGCCAATGGATGGACAGCCATTGGCACAGGGCAGACGATGGCGGGAGCGTTGATGTTTGTCGTCTATGGCGACCCTGTTAATGGTACGGAAAAGGAGCCGGTAGTGAGCGTGCGGACAGTGGAAGGACATCGCCAACCGCAGTTGATCGAAGATTTTGCCGCCGTAGCTGGGAAGGGCTTTGATGTCCAGGTTCTGGCATCCAGTTGGAAAGAGGCCGGCACCGTGCCCGCCAGTGGTGGAAAGGGTAGAAAAGAGAAAAGACACGATGACCACGACGAACACGCCATCATCCCTGCAGCCGGCACCAAGACCTACATCGCCGACGTTCTGCTCGCCTGCTACTCCTGCTCTCTGTGGTCATCCGGTCCCGGATCATGGCGAACTTCGATTTCCGCCAAAGATTCCTCCCAACCTTTCCTCTGGGCATGGAACGACCGCCAAGACTTCTCCGGAAACTTCACCCGGGATGCGCACATCAAAATGCATCGCCACCACGGCTCGGAAACAGGTGGATACGGCTTTTTCTGGGCAGATATGACGCGCTCCGTCCTCTCTCCTTCCACCGACTATGTGGGAAAGCCAACCACCTCCGACCTTCTCAAGATCTTATCCATCGCCCCCGGCGACAGCGCCAAAATGCTCGGCACCAGCGAGGAACCAATGTCCGCGAGCGGCTGGCTGGGCAAACTCACCAGCAACCCGCTCCCCAAGACGCACGCCTTCTTCATGACCGTTGCCTTCCTCATCCTCTTCCCTCTCGGCGTCCTCCTTATTCGTAGCGGTGGCAACGCCTTCCAGAAACATTGGCTTGTCCAGGCCCTCGCATCCGTTTTCACCCTCGCTGGCGCTGGTGTAGGTCTGTACATGACCGGTCGTCGTGTGCCTTCTACTTTCCACCAGTGGCTTGGTCTCGCTATTACGCTGGCGCTGGTAGTACAGGTGATTCTGGGATGGAGGCATCACATGGACTTCCTGAGAATCCGCAGAAGGACGTGGATTTCCTATGGACATATCTGGCTTGGACGGGGGGCGGTTCTGGCGGGGTGGGTTAATGTTATTTTAGGACTGTTGTTATCAGGACATAGTAGGATTGATGTGTGGGGCATCGGTATCTTCGTGGGAATTGAGGCTGTGGTTGTTTGCTGGTGGGTTTGGAGGGCGGCGCAGAGGAAGGCGATAGCGGGTGGAAATGGGCAAGACGGAAAGGGGCAAATGGAGGATGGGGAGGGTGAAAGTTATGGGTTGATGGCGAGGAACGGAGGTGGAAGTGGAGGAGCGGATGGGGAGTATTTCAGGTTGAGTATGAGTGAGGATGATTTGAGTAGTAGCGAGGATGAGGAGGAGGGGAAGAGGAGGACCGGTGGTCTTGGGAGCGGACGGTAAAAGGGTAACCGTGTTGCGGGCCACAAAGATTGGAATTGGATATGATTTAATGACTCCGGATAAATGCATCTACTGGTACCATTCGAACGGTTCATGGTTCATTAGGCCGTGGTACATGATCGCTTCGATGCAAGATCGCCAATGTTACGGGACAATATGTGCACAATGGCCAGAGCCGGAAACCAGACAACAATACACGCCGTAATGTTCGCCAACGGAACGTGAATATACAAACTTCAACCCACTGGATGCACGCGGAACACCTTCCACGGAAAGATCATCAAAGTGCAAACGAACACTGGACACGGCTGATCACCACCAAAGTTACGTCATCGGTCCCATCTCCCGAAGTAAACAAAAACCGCGACATCGCCGTCAATCAATCACCCAACGTCCAGTACTCACTTTCTCGTTCTCAACATTCGGTTCTACTCCCAAGGCTTTACATACTTTCCACACCTTACGTTACCTCACAAAACGAAAAACAAAATGCCCCAACTCCGCGACCCCCTCGACACCCCCAAGAAGAACCGCATCCGCGGCGGCATCATGGCCTCCGAATGGGCCCAAGAAGAGTCAGGCATCATCTCCACCGACCAGGACATCGCCGCCGTCTTCGACTGTCACCCCGAGACCGTCGCGTACGTTCGTTACGACGATGAAGATTGCTGTAATCCTGCTGAGCGTGCGGGCGAAGCTAAGAATTTCGTAAGATATGGTAGGTAGCAATCAGACGGACATATCCAATTCTCCATGGACTAAAAGTTAGAAAAAGAAAGTGAGTAGCTGACGGGATTGATGCAGATATGCCCACTGTCACGGAGCGGTTTCTCGCAGCACGAGATCGCGAGGAGCGAGCTAGGAAGAGCAGGACAAGCAAGAAACGGCAACGCGCCAGCTCAACTGGGTCTGGATCTGAGTTTGAGGATGAATTTGAGTGTGAGGAGAGCCAAGAGAAGGGGCAAGAAGTGCAACAACAACAGTCAAAGGAAAAGAAGAGGAGAAGAACGATGAGACCGACGATACGCCGGAAGAACGCGGCGACGGCGGTGGCTGTGGCTGCGACATGATGTGCTCTAGAACTCAAACCGACGTCTGCTATTTCCGCAGAAAGAGGAGTGCATACCTATGTTAACATACACACACTGTGGTTTGTAAGAAACTTTCAACGAATGACCGACATCGCAGATGGATAGTATGTATTTAATAAGCAATGATGTATCCAAGGAACCGACTCCGAGTCCATACAACCTAAGGTAAAGGCATAAAAAGAAAGAAAGAAAGAAAGA